TTCACGTTAGTCGAAAAAAACTGTTAACATTGTCTATATTTTTAAATGGCTTTGACGCGATGCTGTCGTATATATTTGATCGGTTGTTTTCGGGTCATATGTAGAGATCTAAGTCTCATTTTCAACTGTCATGCGTTTCCGTTTCATGATAGTCAGAAAGCCTTGTTTGGTAGACTCCAACGAATTGCTATTTTTCTAAAAACTGCGAATTTTTAGCAACTGGTCATATAGTCTGGACTGATCCAAAAAAAATATTAATAGTATCAGTGAGGTCTCTAATTAGACTGTGCAAGAAAAATGAATTCCTTGATTTCAAAAATTTCAGCTTAATTTTTGAACTGTAAAGTACTTATAAGTTAGTTTTATATCTATATAGGTATAGGTACTATATATATACATACTTATATAAATTTACAACAATAATTTATTATTTAATTTATTTAAATACTTATGTTCCTTTTCATTATAGAGCATCAGTCCTGGAATGGTAGACACCGATTTTCTTAATGTGTATTCGCATGCTGTAGCTGATTTACCTAAGTTGAAGCCTGAAGATGTTGCTCAAGCCGTGCTTTATGCCTTGGAAACTCCGAATAACGTACAGGTACTATCGTACATAGTTTTACACTCAGCTAAATATATATACGACTATATATATTAATAAGCGATTTTTATAATCTCTTCATTAGGTCGAGGAAGTTATACTGCAAGCTATGCGACGTTATGATGAATAATAGCATAACAAGTTTATTAAGAATATTAGATATACATTAAGACTGAAAAGTTTCGGAATCTCTCATTTAAAATTCGCGCGCTGTATATTTTTCGATATTTTAAGTTTATGTAGTTTGGCAGCACTGTCCTTAATTACTATGCCAAAAATGAGCTCGATCTGTCAGACAGTTCGTTTACGGCAGCTGTTGAAACCAGTTCACCTCAGTAGTGCGTTGCGAAATGTCTTCGACGGTCGTACGACCGTCCTGGAAGGCTTTGTACCACTCATAAACTTGAGTTTTCGATAAAACTGATTCCCCATAAGCCTTTTGTAGCATTCGCAACGATTCTGCACACGAAATTTCGTTCGAAACACAAAATTTGATGCAAACTCTTTGTTCAATATTTTTTTCCATTGTTTTTTTCGCAACGCCCTACTGAGGTGAACTGGTTTCAACAGCTGCCGTAAACGAACTGTCTGACAGATCGCGCTCATTTTTGGCATAGTAATTAAGGACAGTGCTGCCAAACTACATAAACTTAAAATATCGGAAAATATACAGCGCGCGAATTTTAAATGAGAATTTCCGAAAACTTTTCGGTCTTAATGTAATTACAGATTACTATATAGATGCAAAAGAAAAAACAGGCACTTGATCCTCTTAACTTTATAAAGTAGTCATACATTATTTCTAACAAGAAGTAGTAAATAAAATTAAGTCACCTCGATCTATTATTCAAACCAGATAAAATTATCTATTTATGTAATTATTAGAAATATTTTTATTCTAATATTATATATATAATAAATTATATTATGGAGCTTCAAATGCTGTTTTAATTGGGTAAATGGTGAGTATTTATTGGACCCCAGTAAAAAAATATAGTTAATACATTTATGTTAGTATGCGAATCAATTCATAAAGGGAATGTGTATAACTATATAGACTATCTTATAGTTTAACTTGATCTACTTAGATATTGAACTCATTTTCAAAATTAGTTAACTAAGGACACCTGAATATATTCGTCTTAAAATGTCACAATGACAAAAAAAGACTTTACCTCTTAACCTCCCGACTTCATAGCTATCTAACCCTTGTTCAAGATAGGTGGCATATGCTAAGAGCGTACTTTCTTAAATAGCTTAGTCAATTTTAATACCTACACTATAAAAACATACATTGCAGCTTAATCAGTTGAAAGATTTACCCTTTAAATGCATACATAGCAGCCTATATGCTAATAGTTGGACAGGTAGTTTTATTGGTTTATGCAAAAGTACCAATCGCCACAACTTCCATCGTGATAGAGAAACTTCTTAAGTAAACCACGTATCTTATACATCTACGAATCCGCGTGGTTTCGCTTATACCGTAATCTTAAACCCAACATTGGGAAAAATTGCTGACTCACGCAAGATAAGCCGAAATCTAAACATCCTATAAAATAATATTACAATTATGTTTAATGGCCGTGTGAGAGTTCGAGTAAATTGATGGTAAATTGAGAGAAATAGAATAATTATGTCGGTATGGCAGTGAATGTTGTTGCGAATGCAGCGAATGTTGTTGCGAATGCAACGAATTCACCAGAATTTCGAGTAGGGTATATTAGGAAATAATTAGATAAATTAGGTGTTACCATTGTGAAAATTTTATAAGATTTTTAATAAATAAACTTGAAATCTGTTAACCAAAAGTAATAAATAAGTGCAATAAATAAATATTTCCATAAGTGCAGTGCAAAAAATTCTTAGAAATTTTAAATTTACTTTACCTCAATTTACTCCAACTCGCACACGGCCTATATTATTATGTCGTTTAATTTACTTGTAGTATTTTACATTATATAGTCTGTTCGTACAGACTAGCCCTATATAAATTTATCACAGTGTGAACGCTGTTTAGTGGTTTAAAATTTAGTTTAATATAAATTAAAACTGAACATCCTTATAAACTAATCATTAAAATTATTTTTTTAGTGTTTTTTTATTTAATTTACAAAAGCCTTTAAATAAATAATAAATCTAATATATTTCCAGTCCACATAAAAAAATTCTCTTCTTCATATATAGGTAAAATAATTCTAATAAGTGTTTATTTTTTTATAGGCTAATTGGTCAAAACTTTTTTATTATTGTTGTTAAAAATAAAAACAAAAATTAAGAATTCACAATTTGATTTTTCAATAATTTTTATTTTTCTTCGATATTTCGACTTTAGTCTAAAGTCATCATCAGTTTCTTATTAAAATTATTTGGTCACAAAATTATTAACATGTAAAATAATTCTATTAATTACAATATAAGTATTTTATATACATAAAATTTTTTACAGTGTAACGCTGTATTATTGTAAAAATTTTTATACAACTATTATACCAATCTGAAATACAAAAACGTACACGTTATTTAAAATATTTTATTTAATATTGTAATAAATCTAATTATGAGTGATTTAAATATCTTAATTTTTAATTTTAAAAAAACGTAAAAATTTTTGCTTTGATTTTATACAAATACTGTCTTCATATTATTCCTATAGATGGCGCATAACACAGTTGGTGCCAACTTTTTTTTCAACATATAGCAAAATTCTATTAGTTAAAAAGAGATAGTTATACTTTACTATAGTCAATAAAAACTAATATAATTCAATTGTCGTGTTGTCTGACATTTATAAACTATATTACCAACAAGTAGACTGCCTTATCGTTGCTGTTGTCGTCGTGTTAACCAGCAAAAGAAATTATCACAGAAGCACAGAAATAACCAAATATAAATTAAAAATTTTCAACGAGTGTGTGAAAATTTTTAATTTATTTGTATGGTATATTTAGTAGGTAAATATTATATTGATTAATTTCAAATAATGCATAGCAGTTGAAAGATTGCAAAACGTTTTGTGCTTTATTGAAAAAGTAAAGTAAGAAATTGTGTGCGATTTGTGTGTCAACGATTGGTCAAGTCTAGTGCGGGTAGGGCGAGGCGAAAACACAATCATTAAGTGCTCTGCGAAGAACTGGAACAGGTTAACAATATAAAAACTCCAATCATCGAAACATATTTGTAATAATTACTTGCAATTTATGAAATAAGTGACGAAATATTTTTACCCCTTTTTTTATTTTTTATTTGTGCCAAGTGCGAGCGGAGCTTGGTTTTGTGCGAGGTGGTGTAACAGAGTGTCAGGCCATAGGCCAATAGTGTACGGAAGCAAAGTCTTGTTTTCTTATTGTTTTATTTCTGAGTCGTTTTTAACAGTGTAACATAGTTTGTTTATTGTCACGTTAAAAAATTTATATATTTTTTTGTTTAAATTTTGTTTAAAAAATTATTGAACTACTTTCATGCGTGTCAAGGACGCCGTCTAGACCACATTTTGCTATTCCGTCTCTAATCAATCCGTGTAATTACGTTTAAAGCAAATAATTTACATGTGTTAATTTTATTTAATTTTTTATATAAATTTTTTTTTTTTTAACAAGTATTCTTTGCTTGAATGAACATTGAACTTGTACGCATTTTAAATTTTCTATTTTTTCTATTTTGATTAGAATTCTTTGTTTCTTTTGTTACATTTTAAATATAAAAAAAATAAAGTGAATTTTTTTTTATCTTTGGTGTTGAAAAGTGAACAACTTTCACTTAAAAAAAAGGAAAATAATTTAACTAAAATTTAACTTTACTTGCATTTCTAACAAAGCATTTTCCTACCAAATCAAGGCAGTTAAGATTTGCTCAAGGCTTCAATAAGGAAAAGTCAAGTGTCAAAAAATATCTAGTCTGTTTGTCATTATTAATAATAAATTGCATAAAACTCTTTTCTAAAACTAATTTTTAAATTTTCTTTCCATTTCAGCATAACAACTCTTTAATTATATTACCTTTTCCCTCTGCAATAAAAACAAAACAAAAAACACAAAAATGTTCATCTGGGACTGGTTCACTGGTGTTTTAGGTTACTTAGGTAAGTGGACATAAGTAAGATTTGCAAATATTTGGTGTTCGCAATGCTTTTATTAAAAAACATTTTAATCTTTAATAAACAAAGAACGTATTCTGTAATTAGTAAATATTCATAATGAAATTGTTGAAAAGTTGCCAACAAAGCAAAAATTAATAAAAAAAAAATAAGGTGAATACTTGACAACGATCATCAGCTGCTTTATATACAGCGACATACATAATCTTCTTATGAATACTACATATATAAATACATTTATATAGAACACAATGCCATAAATGACTGTGGATTATAAATTTCATTCTTTGATTCTAGTGGATTTGGCATATGACGAGAAGAGTGTGCTGAAGAGAATGGCAATAACAAAATTAGCAGAACTGCCAACAGAATGTCAATAGTCTTCTCTAATGTGCTAGTTAGATGTGTCAGTGTCTTACTTAGATTTGTATCTGTATACAGCGACATCTCAGACAATCGTAGGGTAGACCAAACTTGTCAAAGCAGGACTCTGCTCTATGATATTTATTTCTCAGATATTGATAATCCACTTGTAACGGCCGAGCTGGCAATCAATATACCTGAGCATCACTAAACAAACTTGGGAAATTTAACCCTTTCTATCAGAACTTTAAATCGATCTGGCCCAAACGGCACCAGTCAGGTTTTTGAACTAAAGTGTAATCTGATCGGGATTAATGTATCGCTGCTGACTGTTCACTGCGTACTAAGAAGACATGCCATAACCTGCATCTACCATTTAATGACTTTCCTATAAGAAGGAAATTGTAATCCACTTCATGTTTCAGTGTCCATAATGCACCAAGAGAGGTTTTAAAATCTTTGGACTCCTTTTCTTACCGACTTATTAAAGCTATTGCAAAATAAGGGACTTAGCCAAATTCGTAGATTTGTCAAATTGTTTCACTAAAGCTTGATGCAACAATCATGCCTTTCGGAATTATTTGTACGCTGACCTTTAGATTTAGACTTAAGCGGACCGCTACTAATTCACACCATTAACACTATGGATCCATGAAATATTGCAAATCACGATATTGTTATTGTTCAAAAGTTATTGGTAGCAGTCCTTACAAAATACATAAATGATTTTAACGAACCTTATAAAATTTTATTAAAGATAGTAACGAGTTCACTTATTTTTTAGTGTTTTCTTTTTGTTTGGTTCCACACAAGCTCTAAATAATATAAATAATACATTGAATATATTTCCGATTTACTAAAGAAACCGGAAACACTGGCTTTGGCTTGAAAAGCACTGGTGTAGAAATATAACCTTGTAAAGTAAAAAAATGTATCAGTAATATGAAGGCTAGAATAATAAGATAAGATAAGATAGGGAGAACAAAAATGACGTAAAATAACTTAGAATCTAATTTTGTGATATAGTTAAATTACAGTTAGTTAAACTACAAATACTAAAAATTAAATAATTATCTGATTTTGTAGGTTTATAAGAAAGATTCTGCCTTTTTCACTTATTCACTAATCGTGGATTTTAAGATCATTCTTAAGATGTCAAACACAAGTCTTCTAGACTTCTTAATGATCTTTAACATTATATAGAAGTTCTTACATTATATGTAATATATACAGTTAAACTTATTGGAGTGTCATTCGAGTTGAAGACTTCTAGATTTCTAATGATCAATAAAAGGTAGCTTATAGTTTTATGTTGTAAACAATGTTAGAGTTCTCTAATATCACCTTGATATCTCCTTTTTTATACTCTATTGTATTCTATTCTTGTACTTTATTTATTGAAACTTCTCTTATGATTGGATATTAATAATAGTTATGAAAT